TTTTTTTTTTTTTTTTTTTTAATGAATATATATGTACATGCACTTATTCAAATGAAATATCTTTTAAGTTATGCGTTTGATTCTGAAAGATAGAGATTAGAGATTTTGAGAAAGAGGTCACTTTTTATTTTATTTCATGGAGATAATTCTGTAATTATAATATTTAATATATTTGTATTTTATATTTTTAATATCGTATTTATTTCCATAAATATTCCTTCATCCTAAATATTTAATCTCATTTCACTCGTATAATATATTTTTATAATGATTATTTCATGAATTTAAAGCAACATAATTTTCTTACGTTATCAAGTTAACAGAAGATATATGGCTATGTTTTTTGATATCGCGTTACATCATTAGCAAAAACAAACGAAATTTTATTTTCACAACAATATTTATTATTACGTTACATTACATCGTTTTACATATATTATATTAAATTGCATATTTTCTTAATCCATTATTCTCTAATTAATTATACGAGTTTACGGATAGTTAATGATAATAATAATAATTTATTCAATTTTCTCCATAACATTATATACAAATAATTCAGACAAAATTAATTTTCTCTTCTAATTAATTCAAATTAATGAAAAGATATACAGGGTGAGAACGAATCGTTTATCTCGACTTGATGATAGATCATTTGCAAAGATATCCACGAGTTGCAACAAGTGTCTCTCATTGGAATCCAACGACGTATCATTCGTTGAGCGCGAAATCACGAAACTGGGCGAAACTCGCCTGCGCACAGACACGGATCGAAAATCACATCGTATTTCCGCGAATCGTTGAATCGGAGATAGCGGGATTTTACTATTTATTGCAATAGAGAAACAAATTAAAACAGAGAGGGATCTTATCTCTCGCAACAGTTTTGTTCATTCTTACTCGCGGGTATTGAACGGTGGGCTCGACATTCGCGTTTCATCGACCGTGTCGTGGATTATTAATATGTAACGTGTCACGATGCCAGAGAAGCGTAATTGAATTTTAAAAGAGCAAGTTGCAGCCAAGTTCAAATTAAGTGTTATAGTTCGTTTTATTATGCGCGGTTATATTTAATCGTTATTTTACCCTCATAATTAAATGGATCAGGGTTGGATATAAACCCGTTGCGATTACGGGTTTCATGGAAATTGGAGGAGTTAAACGAATTGCTAGAAATTCATATTTCACAAGTTGAACGTTATTCAACTTATTATTTTTCGAGAAGAGAAGATAGACGTAATAGATATAGGATAATAGAAGTGGAAGAAGTTGAGAAGAGAAATAAAAAGCGATGTTGATCAAATTAATTCGAAAATACGAGAGGAATAAGAGGATAGAACGAGAGTAAAAGTATATTCATTCGTACTCGTTTAACGTAAACAGCGATGGAACAATCTGTTCGTAAACTCGTTTACACGAAAGCGGTGCTTCTTCGCGCGGTGAACTGCGGCGAGCGAATGTTGGCGGGGGTTAAATAAAACATAAAGAAGACTCGATAATTCTCGCGTTAACATTTTGTTCCCACGCGTTTTTCCGAAGATGGAAAATTTCCATTTCATTTCGATCATCTCGGAATAAAATTTGGCGGGGAAAATGGTGGATTTGTCGTAGGAATTCGATCCGCGAGAGTAGAACGTCTCGAGACGTTACGGTTGGTGTGTCGTGTTTATTGCATCATATCGTGAGCCAATGCGAGGAAGGTGTTAAAGTCCTTTCTCGGATAATCTTTTATTTACTTCTCGAGAAGCTGGTATCACGGCTACGGACACCGCGATCCAGAACCGCGGCACGTTGGAAAAAACTTCTTACAGGAAATTATGTAATTATCCAGGTATACTTTACGTCTCACAATATATCTACGTATATATCTCAGCGTGCACGCGGTTGGAAAAATGCGAACCGGGGACACCGGTTGCGTGTGCGCGCGCGCGAAATCGTGTCTTTCTTGTCGAAAACTGTGTGTACGTTTTATTTCGTTTCGACATTGATCGAAGTAAATTTTGAGAAAATGGCCTCGCCACGATCTTTCCAATTTATTCGCGAAAACAAACTATCTTTTCCGAGAGTTGGTCCGTGTTGGTATATATACAAGATGATTCATAAGTAACGTTAAACGGTTTGCCGCTATGCTTTGCGCGTCGGAATTAAGAAGAAGATTCTAATTAACGCGAATTACTATGCCAAGGTATGGTCGTTTCGAGTTGTAAAGGAAATTAGGTAGGTATAAAGTTAAGCTTTGCGGATGCAATAAGGAACAACTTCCCATGTTCGATGTTTCTTCAACGAGTTATCGTTAAACGTTTCATTTCTGTAAACGCATTTTTGCGTTGCTAATAAAAGAAAATGCATGTTTAAATTGCACGTTGAAAAACACTTGTTTACTCGAATTACAAACGTTTCTATAATTTAATATTTATCGAAATAATTGAATTCTTTAAAATCGTATTTAAAGTGGAGATGGAAAAGTTAGGACAAAAATTACTATTTGGCAAAAAAATTTGCAAAGCGATATTGATTATCGATCCCTCGATTATTATTGTGTATTACTATTAAATGTGTATCAACGATCGATATCTTTCCGTTCGTTTTGCATATTTATAATCACACGATTCGCATTTAGCCAACAAAGCGGCATATTTTTAGCAACACGACACGCATCGCACTTCGATCTCTCCTTCGATCCCATATCCGGAAACTATTCGTTCGAATCGAATTCGCGTCACTTAAATATAAACATTCCTATATACCTATATCTCGACGTCTTACATTTTCTCGATAAATTTACAAGTTGGCGCGATATACAAATCGATCTGTACAAAATTCGAATGTGAAAGTCACGAAATGCGAGTGTCTGGTGGGACGAATTTCAAAACCTTGATAGGAGGATCGATGGAATACCACGTCACGCGTGTCAATCCTCTCCTCTCTCTCTCTCTCTCTCTCTGGAGAAAGGCCTCGTCGCTCGGTAGGAAGAAGAGAGAAAGAGAGAGAGAGAGA